AGAACCCATACAAGGACTAAGGTTAATAGAGCGCCTTCATCTTGCGTCAACTTTCGGGCATAACATAGCGACGCAGGCATCGTCACGTGACTAGGAAAGTGTTAATTCCATCTACGTTTGAGCTTTTCGCGGGTAGTTTTGAACTTTTCGCGGGCACTCGCTGAAAACACGCAAAAACGCGAAATCGATACTTACACTTTCCTAGTCGCTTCTGTCGCACGCTCGACACGCTGAAGCAAACTATGAACGCAGCCTTGTAGTTCTAACACATGAACGGACAGGCAAGATAATACTACCCGGGACCAGGACCTCACGATCAAGCGATGTGGCCGCCAGTTGCCCTACCTCCCACATTGGTGCCCTCTTTGCCTGCCTGCCTCTGTTACCGCCGGTTCCTTATCTAGGTTGCTGCAGCTCAGAGATTTCAAAGAGCTGTAGGAACGGTGCAAAGTAAAAAGTTTGATCAAGGTGCAGCAAGATGATTCATTTTTTCGTCTCCTCCATACCCACTCTCCACGTAACCAGTGTCTCATCCCATATAAGCATGCTATGCGAGTTCCAATGCTGGCGCCAACATGGACAATACGGTAACTTCAGTAGGCGAACAACCGTACACCGTACCCTCAAATGAGCCGTAAATAATTCTGATGCACACCAAACACAGTATCTCACGACAACAGCGTCGAAATCGCCTAGGGAACGTACGTGTTGTGATGCGAAGGATATCCAAAGGATTAGAACTATTGCATGGGATCAGAAGAATTAGAACGATTGCATGGAATAGTGTTCGTAAGATCTATATACCCGTTGGATGCTCCAATGCATCATTTTTCTATTTATAAATGTGCTTGTATAATTGGGTTTCATCAAAAATAGTCCGCGTTTGGGTCAGAATGTCTCATGACATTGCAGTGGAGTTTTCGCACTATACTAAGGCACCTTATTGAAGGATTTTTCAGATGAAAATGTCAACTCGTCCGAAACTTGATTAAATTGCTAGAACAACATAGTTTTGCATGTGTTCTCCTTAACAGGTCCCGCATTCATTCAGTGATAAATGCCCTGCTTCTTTTCATGTTCGAGTAGTGGTTTCAATTATTCACATTCTTATAAATGTATCTGATGACAGTGTAGCCTCCTTGTTGTGTGGCTACCGCTGCCTGCCTGCTTCCGTTGGTGCTACTGCCGTTTCATGCGATGCCAGGAATGATGACATCATAGTTTTTTCTTGAACGAATACAGTACGAGTGCGAGCTCCATGGTCAGCCCTATTCACAGCTTCAAGAATAAGCTCGCAGTTGAAACCTGAACTACTCTAGGGATTCTAGGAGTGGTGATGAAATGAGGAGAATAAGTTGTGCATAGTGGGACACATTCGTTCACAAACCTGGAAGAAGAAAAATCCCCCATTCCGAGGCAGTCATATTGTTTTTAAAACCTAAACAGACTCTTATTTGATCGAGAAACAAGACAAAACTACTAGAAGTGGGTTGCGGTGAGCTGTCTACCGAATTCTCGTTCGTTTCCACGCTCTTTGAATGAAACGAATGTAGCTAGTAGCCCTTGCGTTTTAAATTTTTTCAGCGCGAATTTATTGAAAAGCTAGTGAGGGTTGTCGATTCGGCGCTAAAACGACAGTTCGATAAGTATACTATTCTTCTCAAACGTACGAAAAATTCTCGATGCGATAGCAACCACACGTTATCTAGGCAATTCCGACGCTGTTACTGTGAGATGGTGTGTTTGGTGTGCACCCACATTCATTTACGGTTCCTCTGAGGGTACGGTGTACGAATGGCTCCGCTAGCGTGAATTACCGGTAAGTCCAACATGGATTAGCGGCTGAGACTTCTAAGTCGCGCAGGTACAGCACAAGGTCATGTCCGAACTTTGTACTGTGTCGGCGAGACGACGTCGGCCTTCGGAAGAGCGAAGCTGCGGCATTCCGCGAAAAACTTGCATAGTTTTGGAATGTAGGCACAAAGTCTGCCTGTTCTAACGAAATGACTCTGATAGCTGAAGGTGGCCTAGTTTTTTTTTTCTACAACAACAACGGATAGAAGCTGCTCGGATCGGGGATACAAGAATTTACAGAGCCTGCCAAAATTACCAAGTGGGAAATGTTGTTCAAAAGAAAATAGTCAACAACTTGATCGGTTATAGCCAGGACCACAACATAAGCGTTGGGACCGTTTTCTCGCGTCGCGTATTCGTGATCACGTGTGATAAATGACTCAGAAGGGCGGTCGGTGAAGAAATATTGGAAGTTGAGCAACCAAGGCAGTTTTACAAGAGGATTTCCAAAGTGGACGAATATTCCAGATTCCATGAGACTTATTCTCTGCTAATCTCGACAATTTTTTTGGATCAATCATAAGGGAAAAAAAAAACAAAAAAAAAGAAAACTAAAGTAAAGCTGGTACAGACATCCCTCACGTAAACTTGTTCTTAGCGTATCCTCAAAGACAGCCTCCGCGCTCAAGTGATTCGTGGTCGTCCTTCCTTGTGCAGTAAGTCCACCCCCCCCGCTCGAAGCTAAGAGACTGTCCCACTCTCGCGCGACTCCACAGCGAGCGAGGAGCGTGCTACAGCCGCCGAAATTTTAGTTCTAACGCCAGCTTAGTTGCACCTTCCACTTGCTTTCTGATGGAGGCGGATGCAGGTTGTTTTGTTAAGCATTACTCGGAATTGAATGTCCTTTTTGCTGACCGAGCTCGTGACCATGAGTAATCTGTTCTATTTGATTACATTTTATTCACTGGGAGCACATACAGTCAACTGCGACGCGTCTCGCAAGGTAAAACGCAGGAATGTCACGAGCGATGCAATTTTCTTAGTGCAAAAGCCCGACGCACTGAAAGATGCACACTACCGTAACCCTAAATTCGTCGTCTCAGGGCACATGTCAACCGAAAATCCTCTCCTCTCTTCCCTTTTTCCTTCCTCCCTCCTTCTTTTCCTTCATTCCTCCTTCTCTGATCCCTCCTCCTTTACCTCCTCCCTTCAACTACTGTACTGGCAGATGCCTCGTGAAAACGACCCTGGACCCTCGCAGCGAGAGCACGTCTGGTTGACAACAGCCCGTAACCGTAAATTCGGTAAATTCGTACGCCGAGCTTTTGAGTGTTTCTTTTTCTCGCGAGTTTCCTGTCGGTGTTTTTGTTGTTTTTCTTTGTATTGGATGATATTTATTATTGGAGCTGCGAAAAAAGCGATTTGTGAGCAGGGTTGCACAGGACTGCAGGACGAGTGACTGCCAGGGAGCGATTTTGTTTATGGTGTTCCTGAGGACTCTTACTGCTTTTTTCTTCTTTGAGGAATTACTTCTTTGGGGACTTCAGGTACCGTTCCATAATTGAACAGCGAATATGCATGACACTTTGCGGGAACTGTCTTTAAAGGCAACCCAGGCAAATGCCGTTTACAGGTTGTACGCCTAATAAACATTAGGACATGCAGTAAATGGAATATCAGCTAAGGAAAAAGCAAACAAAAGTCATAAATAAGAACCCTGTTGGCTCTGAGCATTATATAAGCACACAGCGTAGAGAGACTGCATATAGATAATAATGAGATTTTAGTAAAATTTGAGTAAAATTTTACATAGTATTTTGATTGTTAGATTTCTTACTACACTTTTCTTATCTAAGTTTAGAGGGGGGTGACTCAAAGAAGTAGCTTAGTTTCCGTTTCGCACGTGCATATAGAACACAGAAGCATAATACGGCTAGAGAACATACAAAGAAGCATGACCTCATCCCTACATAGCGATGGTGAAACGAAATATAGGTGGATATAGGTGGATGCAGCTCGCGAAGGCGGAGCTAGCCTATTGTCGCTAAGCCGTGGCGCTCTAATCAAGCATTTTAGGGTCTCGGAATTGGGGCATACCCTGCGATTGCGGACCGTGCCACCTTGTGCAGAAAAGGTATTTTGAACTGAATTTCGTAAATCTCAGTAACACTGTTCTTATTATTGCATAAGTGCCTACGCGACAACGTCCCGGGGTTAACGAAATGACGACTTGTCTGAGGTCAAGGACGAATCAAACCATTCCTGTTGTGTAGAAGCTCTTCCACCCTTACGCAATTCTTTTTGTCAATTAAGCACGTAGAACAATAGGGGACGCTGTCGCTGATGGAGTTTAGATCAAATGCATGATGCCATCAGGAAGAATTCGGTTGAGGAGAGATATTATCCTTACAGAACCTTTACTTGAGTTGCTAGCTCAGCAAAACAGGCACTTTGAGCCAAGGGCTACTCTGCAGCGCCTCTGCTTCACCACTGCTAAGGCTTCGAGGTTCATTGTCAGATGCTAGGAGACCAAACACACCCCGTCTTTTGTAGTCTACCGGTGTTTCCTTAATCCTCTTAAGAAGGCTTATTGAAAACCGTGTATTCTCTGCAAGACGTGATCTAAGCCCTGGTTAAATCACTGGCGCTAAAGAGTGCCCCCCCCCTCAACCAAGTGAGCCATATATGTTCATAAGAAACTTTTAGAGTTGCTAATTCTGAACAGGTTTATGAATACAGCACAAATCTGTGTGTGAATGTGACGAATCTCAAAGAAACCCTGATCTGTTCAGATTATCGTAAAGACTGCAATTGCTAGGAAATGCACAGGCAGCAAGAGCCAGTTGAATGACCAAGATACGTACTAAATTCTTAGAATCGCTATAGAAGTCAAAAATTAAAGCATCCAAAATGGCGCAGCCAAGAGGACAGAGTAGAAAAGCAATCTTTTCCGAAAACCAAAATAAAACTACTCAGCTCTTGAACACCAACCAGCGAAATACTTCATAATTCCATCTACGGTTCTTTCAGGGCGAAATCAAAGGGTATAGGGGAACTGGGAACAAATGATCGGTTCCGTTACCGTGGCAAGAAGACAGTCAGCAATAAGCTTTCACTTTACGGGTTCAGCAAGTCGCCGTCACAAGCGAGCGGTCGTCGTCCTTTATCAGTCGGTCATGATTTAGCCATGTGTCAGCAAGACACAAATGCCAATTCTTGCGAATTCCCAGCGTCTTACTGAAATGGTCGTGAGCCTGTAACATTCTTTCGGAGCACAAATCCCTGACCAGTGCTTCTGCTTAGCGCGCACAAAAAAGATCGAGTGTTGGCTTCCAAATAAATGAACAAATTATCTGATGAGGAGTTGCTCATATTCTAAGGTCCGCGAATTAGCGGAGTAGTGTGAACAGAAATCGCCTGGCAGGCTTGAAGAATGAAAGAATAAGAAGATCACTGGAGAAGATTTGCTGTATGTCGAGCCTCATTAATTCCATTTTCTCGGCATTTTCGCAGCATGGGCGCTCCGCCGATTCCTCCTCCTTACGAATTTATAGTCTAGTTCGGTTACGTGACATCTTGAACTTTTGTGCATGGTCCTGTTACGAAACCCTGTGACGCAGACGGATAGAGGGCAGCGGCTGCCAAAGCATCGAAACGTGCAAAAAACGTATGGCGAGCCAGGAAACGGGATTTTTCAAGGGAGGGGACTCCGGGGTGGGTGAGCTACTTATAGTCGGTGAAAAGCTGGAGTGAGCGAAGTCACAACGGCCATAGAGTGCCATGCGGACGAGAGAGTGCAGAGAAAAAGAGAAGATCGACGCGTTCAAGGGATTGAGTTCAAGTTGTCCGTAGACCTCTAGTTCGGTGCGGACAAAGGGGCGTGCCAGGCGGGCTGAGTTTGGCGTGATGCCAAACCCGTTCTCCAAGTGTTAACACTGTGTCATACGCTCGTATAAGTCGTTTACTACCGAATGTTGGCGCGTAAATGCTCTAACAACTGGCAAAGAACGCAAAGAACGGGTTTGGCGCCAAGGCACTGCCTGACACGCCCCTTCCAGCAGCAACTAGAGTATGGAACAGTTCACGGATTCTCCGGCTTTTTCAATCTCCACCCTTCGATTTGATCCGCATTTAGATATCGCGCAACTGCGAGCTGCCATGCTCCACTGCTAGTTCTTGGACCGCCGCACACAGTCGAAAGCGAAAGCGGTCGCGCGCTGAATCACCGCATTCTCAAAGTATGAACGCAGGCAAATGCGTATCGCTACTCCTTCTAGTCTCTGACCCATTGTTCGGTGCTACTAAATAGAAACAGCATCTATAATACCGGAGGCGCTCCTGCAGCCGTCCGGATGGCTAGCACACGGTGAGGTTTTCTAAGAGTTCGGGACGATGACCTGGTTTTTCAGCTTGTCTGAGAATCTCGCACAGAATTTCGGGCCGTTCGATGTAGGCTATTTTTTTCAGTTCCCACCCTAGCCTCAATCATTTCATGATTACAATTAACTTTATGAACCTCACCGAAATTAAGAGACAATGTCGTCATGAATTCGTGGCTACGAACCTTATCCTGAATCTGGATTTTAGTATCCGAGGAAAGAGGAGGGCTCGTGATGCTTTTGTTCTCGGAAATTTCCGCACGCACAGTTGAGTATCCTATAAATTCTTTCCGATCTATAATGCACAGAAGACGTTCCTAAATTTTCCCCTGGTTCCTAACTTACTTTACAAAGTTTCGTTTCTTGATTTCGCCTTTGCCTCGCTCTATTTCCACTGTTCGCGCTAGTCGCTGCTCCACCGCAAGCGTTGCACAGGCAAAGTTCAAGGCAACACAATCCCTCTAAATCAACATTAGTGGATCAATCTGGTCTTTGATTTGTACAGTTGGACGCTAGTATCACTTCAACTTCTTTTATTGTCCACAATTTCATTACAACTTCCTCACTTGTCTCTCGCTTCTCTACTCTGACATTTGATATTTATTATCAAAAAACACTTGCCAAAATTTCGGCAGTAATATTCGATTTGTGGGAAGATAAAGAAGTAATTCAGTCTTAGAAAATATTATAGGAAAAGCAAGCGGCTGAGTATCTATAATTTTTTCCGAACAAGATGTGCACACCTTTCATCTTTATTGATTTTTGGAAATATTAAGCATTATAGTTGTGTTATATACTTTGAGAATTAAGGCTATTTGTTTAGACAGCGGATGTGTTCCTTTGTGCTCTTTAGCACCTGAATCTAAAATTACTTCGTGCTAGCTAGGGACTAGAAGACACGTGCTCTTCTCTTTTGGGGGTGTGACAGTGCGTTACAGGGACTCATTCTGCTTAAGCTACTCCAATAAGTCACGCAATTCAACTTCTGTGCTGATTTGTCTAAAGCCACCCTTGAAATGTCCCAGGTTTCTTTCTTCTTTGGTATTCACCAGTTCAGGTAACTAAATGGTAAGTGACCAATGAGCGCTTCCTTTGAGCATCCATCATCAACCACTGCATTTCTTCCGTAGACACTCCTTTTTTCAGTGAGGACTGCACAGAAAGATGCTAAATCAGAAAGTAATTCTTTTAAGCTACGTTCATACTTTGCGTCACAGTCTTGAGCGTAGCGAATGCGTAGCGAATGACAAGGAAACTCAGGCCATCGGTCTAGCGTTTTTGGAAGTGCTTCCTCAGACACTCGAGTCAATCCCTTTAGTCGCATCAACTTTTTCTTCTTTCGGCTTCTCTCTACTCTCTCTCCTTCTCTCTCTCTCTTCTCTCTCGACAAGTCTGCATGGCAATCCATGACCACACGAGTAGTGGCCGTGGAGAGCCCTCGTACTGGCGCGGTGCCTACTTCTCTGCTCTCTAGCTTTTTGCGTCAGGACCTCCATCAAAAAATGTTTCTAGTTGTTACGTAACCGTGCTCAGAACGCTAGACAGATATCTATACTTACCCACACAGCAGGGCGCGGAAGGGCAGCTGGGGACAGTGCACATCATCGTTGGGGATTCCCCCGCAGGAGGGGCAGTATTGGCAGGAGGAGGGTCGGATTTGCTCGTTGTTGGGTGAGGGGGCGGTCGTACTTTATTCGCCTTTTGATTTTCTGAGAGAGTTTGGTTTTTAGTTTTCATAGGCACTCTATTCCCCCCCCTTTCGAGAGCTGCTAGAGGAGAGAATAAGGGAGGGGCGGGGGGAGAGCGGAGCGGTTGTCGCATTAAGTCACTTTATTAGGGAAGGGTGGTTAGACTGTGACCAAAATCCCCAACCAGAGGATGATGGCACGACTGGGAATCCAATAAGAGTAAGATCAGTGCCGGTAGAATGCAATGAAGAAGGGAGTATTTGTTCATTAGGGGAATTACAACTGAACCATTGCTAGAGAAGAAAGTTTCGTTCCGTAAATCGTGGGGCCCTGGTGAAGGACTTTTGTGTTGAACACCCGTTTGAGACAGCTTCCGCTTGCGAACAACAGGTTTTTTTTCTTGTTTTTTATACTTGAACATTCACACTTACATGACGAATACAATGGTTTTCTCCGCGCATTTCAGGGTCCGTGACGTAGGAATAAAAGTGCAAATCGTGAGTTTCTGAATTGTGATGGACTGGGTGGGCTGACAATGATGGACTGGGTGGCTGACAAAGGACAAGAGAAAGAGTGCCAACACCTCCACGGGCAACTTGAACTTTGTCTCTTTTGCACGCTGATTCTGTGTTTTTCTCTGCACTTTTCTATATGGCACTTCACTGTCATGGTGAACTTGCACATTCTAGCTTTTCACTTATAATAAACCAGTCGGATCGCCCAGCTGTCGCCGGGCGCTCTTCCTTCAGTGACATGGCCCAGCTTCCCCGGGCCATGCGGATTTGCCACATGCTAAGTTACGGAATCAGTTAGCCAACCACGACTGTGCAAAAGGAATCTCCTGACATCAGCCAACAACAACTGAAGAAAGCAGAGACTTCGTTTCAGTCAAGTCCGTGAGAAGCGCAACAGTGCCCCCCGCATCACAGAAGGAGGTGAGCAAGCCTTAGACAGCGATCCGGGACTGTTCATAACCTACACGGGAATAATGGAGCCTGTTAGGTTAGCTGCTGACCATGAGACAGCCTATGATTCATGCATTCTGTCGCCTTGAAGCGACTTGCTTTGGAATGCACCCTGATTCTCAGCAGTGAACGCCGTGTTTTAAATGCCCTACATAAGGTGTTGATGGCAAAGATTTATAATTGTCGGTAGCTGTGCTTAAGTGAATGTATGTGATTCAGTTAACATTCTTGTAAACAAACCCATGCATTTGGAATAGGGCTAGCTTAGCGGTCGTACATGATGTCGCTACTAATAAGCAGCGAGGAATGAGTTCTGTTGGAATCATTTAGAGATCGTTATTACTATATCCATAATCATATCGATCGCATGTTGATATAGGAGCTGCAGAATGAAGCGGATTTTCCCATGCTTACGTATGGTCACTTTTAGCCTCCTTCACTCCCGTACCGCAGATACACTCCCGCACCGTGTCATATCACACTCAGCCCTGTAGTCGCTCTCGATCGAGCGTCCACTGTTGTCTGTAACTGCGCTTACGAATTTAATGACCCTCCCTTCCGAAGCCGCTTATCGTATCTTATCTACTGTTATCACTTTCTGTCACCCGCCAATATGTTCCCGTCCCACACCCTATATCACCTCATCGGACCAAGGTGACCACCTGTTCTGCATGAGCTGCACTGTAGAGTTGGTAGTTGTTTCCCGTTCTAATGCCTTTATCAGTTTTATCAGAATGATTATAACGCATCCTGGTCACACTCACTAGTAATGCTTTGTTTTTCACCCCGCCGTATTCCTTTCGGAACCTAGTCCCACTGCTGCTGTCCACCGCGTTAATGAATAGTGACCTCCCTTCTACGCTCTTATCGTTATCTTTATTCAGTGATATCAACTTCCCTTCACTCCAGCAATTGTGTTCTCGGTCAAACACCGCTGACATTCGCTTTCTTGAATAACATGTCTCACTGTTACTTGGACGGCGCTATGAATTGTAGTGACACACAAACATACACACAACAACACCACACACCACACCACACACACACAACACACGACACAACACACACACACAACCACACACAAACAACAACACAACACACGAACACTACAGACATAGCTTAGCGGGAATTAGTATAGGGTAGGATTGGGCGCACCTTTTCAGCAGTCTATTCCTTTGGAGTTGATTACCCCTTCTGTCCGTGGCTTACACATAACTTCATTAGCGCACTTGATGGCCTTTTACGCACAGCAGCTGCTCTCTTTGTGTTATTTGCTGAAGTTCGCAGACAGGACCCTTAATCAAGGCCTACATTTCATACTGTTAGCGTCCAGCGTACGCGCGTTTATGTACGTTATTGAGGCGTACTCCAGCCAAAAAGTATAGGGTATCAGTTTTAGAGAATGCAGACAGTTATTAGAGCAGATGTTGATGCGATAGGAAATATGGGCAGTCGGACCTAAAGCTTACGAGTGACCACCTCACACATAACGCCGCACCGCATCTCGCAGCGACTGCGGATATTAGGTACGCTCCTGTCCGGAAAGCTTCTCAAGCGCTTTGTCGCTTATTTTGCTTACATCACCTGCTAATTTAAAAACACTATTTTACACTTGCGTCCTTAGAGTAGCCACATCTGAGAGAATTTCTTGCGCGTATCTGCATCCGGTTATAATTAAGCCGTTTTCAGACTGCATTGATAAACCCATTTTTATTCAAGTATTTTTCAAGCATGATATGTGAAAAGAGCACTTCGGACGACTAAACGATAACGAGCATAGAGTAATTCAGGAGAGCGCCTTAATATAACCTGTGGGTCTTACCTTACATAGGAGAGGAACAACTCGGGACAGATCCAATCACACTCGTAAGCTCTGCGATAAGCTAGTTTAGATGAGGTTATTGAACGGAAACCTCGGTTTAGAAATCGGAGGGGTAGGCCTGTGACAGGCAAAAAAGTATCCATCTCACTATCAACTAGTCTCCATCGCCGTTTTGGCCTCAGGAGACGGTCAAGACAAGCGTAATTTGCCGCTGTGTCGCGCGCGGTGGTGGACGCGGCATTTTCTTAAGACGCACCAGCCTGTCGTTCGGCACATCGCATTGCAATTAGACTACGATAAGTGCGGCCATTTATGGTCAATCTTTATTACATTTCGCTTATTTTCACCACCTACGAGCTAGAAACATCGTGATTGCGGGCGCGAAGCGCACGCGACGCCCGCTAGCGCGCAAATTACGATTGTGTTGCCACATACCACATTGAGGGGGGGGGGTTATATTAAGTCGGTTAGGGGAGGGTCGTACTCGGATAATTGGAATAGGTGTGTAATAACACAGAACCGTGTGTAAACAGGAAAGAGGAAGTAGTAGGTGTGAACTAAGGCAGCTAGTTCAAAAGGGTTCCTACCTTGGCAGCCAGAGGGGGTCATGTGGCGCGTATGTGGGGCGGCTCGTGACCGTGAAGCGGATCAAATCAATATGCCATATGAAACAAGTCTGGAAATGGAATCTAGGCACTAAAAGAGCCACCCCATATGGTTTGGCTAGGTCTCAGGTGACTGTGTCCAGAACGACCTAGAAATGGGTGATAGTCTCTAAACAGATGAAAGTAGATTGTGAATGAAAGATTTTTGATGTATTCTCATAATTTGCACTACTTCCGCCATGCAGTTGATGATTGCCATACACAATGAATTTCGATTTTATATGTATTCATGCTATTGTTCCAGAGGATGAGCACATCTCATCGATTCATGACATCCGAGGGTCTCATGCCGTCGACAATATTCGACAAAGGTAGTTTCTTTTTTGAAATTATTCGGCTTTTCACTATTCCATCATGTATCGCTTAATCCCAGTATGTTACCATTTTTCGATTGCAGTCGAGCACATACGTTTCCCTAGCGGCTTATCGGATAGGTTTTGAAATTGTGTAATTGAGAAGTATCGCAAAGTTTCTCATTTAGTCCTTCACTTCAAAGTTTCAAAGAAGATGTCCTTCATTTCACAAGCACTGACACAGCCGTGGTAATGTATGTTTTAACCATTCAGCCGCGCAAAATCGGAGGAGGGCGCGACCTGGAGGCTCTTAGAAGTATGAAGATAGCTTACCCAACATGTTGAGTTCACCTTGAATTTTCTCGCTGTTCCCATATCAAAATAAGAAGCACTCGAAAACCAGTCGAGCAACCATTTGCAACTGTAGTTAGCTGGATACGTGATCAGGTTTAGAGGGCACACAGCAACTTTTGTGAAACGTCGTCACTCGCTCACTGTAAAAGTAACACTCGTGCTCTCCATCTACCAACTGTGGTACCCTGTGATAGGGTTAGATGCACGCCCCGCGTTCACAAGAATTTTCAGACTCCTTTGGAAATGATGGTCCTGTCCACAAGTCACCAATCCCCGCCGCATGTGCTGCATGGGCCATGGATGGTTTTTACTATGACTTCCTTCTGTCATGTCTTCGTTATTTTTACCTAATCTTGTTTATAGTCTCAGAGCCGCAGTCAATATGACCGATCGTTTTGAATGCTGAGAGTGCTTGCTAATTCTCGTATAGGGTGTCGCGTTCCCTACCTTTGCCAATCATCGGGTGGATTCGCAGTAGTCGGGAGATATCGAGAATCCGTGAAAAGAAGGAGCACGCCTGTCTCTACCCGATTGTTCAGATGGTGGGTTCGGTCTGTGCGTACCTAATCTTTTTCGCAGTTTCTGTTTCTCCCAGTTCAATGCTTCTATAGTGTCGCAAAGTATAAATGTGTTTATGCGGTGGGAGAATGAGAGAATTGGCGTATTGGACGCGCGCCAAAGAAGTGGATGGGTATTCGATCGACTCTGATTTGAATCTCGATGATAGCTGATCGATTGCCGTCGCAGTCAATACCTTTAGCTCGAGTTCTCCTGGTTCGCGCGTTCTCCTATTCTCCCGATTTGCCAGATCGATGAGTATACATTCCTTTGATGCCCATTCCCAATTCTCCTGCTCTGTTTTGCAGTGTGGCAAAGGTCGTCCAGCTAAAGGCCTTACTACTTTGCTCAGCTTTTTCAGCGCTCGACAACGTTTCGAGCGTTCTGAGCGAACATGAAAGTATAGGTGTCGTTTTAGCGTACGCAGTACGGCAGCGTTTTGAGTGACTAAGGAAAGTATAGGTATCGATCTGGTATCGTCAGCGTATGGCAGCCTCTTGGACAAGGGAGGTTCAGATATCGATCTAGAGTGTTGTGGATTTGAGCTTTTCACGAACAGTCGCAGAAAACGCTGGTCCGCACTCAAAATGCAAGATCGGTACCGATACCTTTTTACGCGTTAGGAACGCTGTCGTACGCTCGTTACGCTATCGCAAAGTTTGGATGCGGCCTTAGCGGCAGGCGGTCGTTAACTCCTGTGAATCGTGTTCCGTGGGCTATTTTGGCCATCAAATTTGACTGCACACTTTGCGTAGTGAGAGCGGTGTTCACCAGCGGGCTTACTGCCATGCTTTCTCGATCACAGACGTCAGCCGCATCAAGTTGAGGGTAGGCAAAAGCGATCACATGAAGGGTGGAGAGAGAGCTGTCGCGTGACAGGTAGGTGTTTTTTCAAAACGCAGCAGCAGGCCTAGTGAATGCAGTGGTACGTGTGTGTATTGGATTAGGTACACATATAAGCGCTTGTGCTGTGTTGACGAATGTGCATGACTGCGATGTATAAGTGTGTGTGTTGTATGGGTAGTGGTAAGCGTGAAGGCATGTCCTCATCTAGTACATACATTTACTAAGATTCTTCCCCAACTACTAAGGTCCCGGTAGGTTCCGATTGTATTTACGTGAACAATATCAACAACTTCATATGGTATAGTTCGCTGCGGACGAAGGGGCGTGTCAGGCGGATGAGTTTGGCGCGGTGTCCAAGCCCGTTCTCCACCAGTTGTTGAAGCGAGCAAGTGACAAGACTGTATCATATCGTTCGTATCACTCGTTTTCTACCAGTTGTTGTCGCATACCCGCTTCAGCAACTGGCAGAGAACGGGTTCGGCAGCGTGGCACACTCTCACTGCCTGACACGCCCCTTCATCAGCAGCGAACTATAGTTCAAGTTGCCTTTGTAGCGAACCTCCAGGGTCCCTTCTTTTTTATTCTTTTGTATTCTGTCGTGGCCTGAAAGACATGCGGCTGCCGTTCTCTTGTCCTTTCGTAAAATTTTCCATCCTTTTTTCTGTCTTTTTGTACGGTCACATTTGTGGATGTATAAAAAAATGTGGATAGATGAAACGTTCGTGACTGAAAGTGCTTTTTCAGGAGATGCTGATATGGATGTATCGGAAGAGATGGAGGAGGTGAGGGAGTTGCTGTACGAGATGATTAAAAAGAACTTCCCCATGGGTGTGTCATCCTCCCATCTGGCTCAGAAGTATCATGAAGAGTGAGTGGTGTGTTTATGCTTCCTAGTTACACTACTTATCCCTGAGACGGAGTAGGCGTGGCATTGAGCATGGCATAGGATGCGTTAGGCAGCGTTCAGACTTCGTGACGGCAGCACCTAGGTCGCGCGTTCGGCGCGATCGATGCGCATAACTTTCAACTGCATCGAACGCGCGACCGAAGCGCTGCCAGCGCGGAGCCTGAAAGCTGCTTTACTTGTGGGAATAGTGTAGTTCGCTGCGGACAGTGAAGCGCATCAGGCGGGATGAGTTTGGCGCGGTGCCAAACCGTTCTCCACCAGTTGTTAAAGCGAGCAAATGATATGACTGTATCATATCGTTCGTATTACTCGTTTTCTACCATTTTCTGTCGCATCTCTTCAGTGAAAATTCAGAGAACGGCTTTGGCGGGGTGACACACTCATACTGCCTGACACGCCAAACCATCCGCAGGGAGCTAGAGTGATTTCTTGTTCTGTGCCGGACAAAGACATGTTTACAACTGCTCCAAAATGAAAATATCTCAAAAGCCTAGAAGCCGCCTCGTTCAAGTATGCTGCCACGCCTGCCGTATCTCAGTAGTTCGAGTACACATAGTGTTGATTGAACTGAGATGAACTATGTATGCAAGTAGAACAGTTAATTTCAAATCGATTTCGCAAGAACAGGTAAACAACTCTCCGAATAGATTTTTGAAAAGCTTCAATTGAGCAACCTTATCCTTGGGCAACATGTACAGTTTACGACTTCTTTGCTGGGATTATGATCTTATTTTAGGTTAAGACACGTGTCAATTCTATAGTCCGGAAAAAAGTAGAAGGTTACATGACTGCTTATGCTTTTTGCCAAAGCCATTTGCTGTGAAAGAAGATAGGGAAGATGGACAAATGACAGATGCTGCCAAATCATCGCAAGGCGCAGAATGGCGCAATTCGGCGTCGTGATTGGGGGGGGGGAGATATCCAACTTTCGCTGTTTTACTAGTTCCGAAGTCTCACTTTGATGAAACCTGAGGACTCTTATATTGGAGCAGGCTCGTCCAGCCGCTATCGGAAAAACTGTCAACTCTTTTAAGCCCATGGCATAGCTCTCTAGAAGGGTCTACAAGTCGACAGGAAGTAGCAGAAGGGTTGCTCCTCTCTCCTCCGCGTCACCGAACTGCCCCACCCCCCCCACACACACACACGTTTTCCTAAAGTTTCGCATGTAAAGATTTTTCCACTTGTATGCGTCGCATGTCCTAAATTGACCACGCTTTTTTCCCTACTCGAGAGACGCACACCCCCCAGTACAGACTTTTGTCAACAAATTTGGTCATCGCGTCGGCTGTCTCTCTCATGACGTCCTGAGGAGTGAGACGGTAAGGCATCGTTGATCTTCGTCAGTTGCAGAAACTTCCAATTCGCTTCTTTTAGCTCTGTCCTCTTTTTTGCGTAGGCTTTGAGATACAAGGCCCGTAACGTATGCGAGCTTCAAGCTCTTCAAAGCGTGAATTGTGGTAGCCTTGTGATAGCGTTTGTCGGTTGAGGTTGTCACCCGGGGTTCTTAAAGAAACTTGCAAACTCTACCACAGAGCTTCGCTATTTCTATTGTTGGCGGTGAACTGATTAACACCAGTCAGTACGATTCAACTGGGTTCCTCTTGCACTTCTTCGGCAACCCAAGTTCTCCCAGGTAATGCATGAGCTACCAAGTTCTGTGAAGTTCGCAGTGGCAATAATGGCAGATTTCTGCGAGCAGATGTCATCCTCTCAACGTGAAGTTGTTCCTCCACTCCGACATTGGGTATACAGACTGCTTGTAGTTGTCTTCGGTTGGACTGCTTGAACTTGTCTACGACCTGCTTTAATTTGTTTCATATTGTATGTCTCCGTTCCTATCAGTATTTCAGACTGAACCATTTTTCTGCTCTCGCCTACGCTCTCCTGTTGACATTGTACTCTATGTGCTCAGTGACCTCGATTATTACAACTTTTCACACATGAGAGACGGCTCACCCGCAGAAGATCCCCCAACCGACGGCGCAACATCGTGATATGGAAACAGAACAGACCTTCCATTTCCTCACCTTACAGTGTGATTCCCACCTAGAGGTGACATGGTGCGACTGAGGGACGTTAGAACGGAGATCTTTTGTGACCTCTCGGCGGGGCGCGACTCGTTGAACACGTGACAAGTGGCATACCTGTTCCGTAGGGCCATTACTGGAACAACACAAATGTTTGTTATGGCTTGTTGGCAAGGCTCATTCTCACCTCGACCACACGTTGGAAAGCTGTTAGTTATATCCAGAAATTGATAAGCTTCGAATTCCGGCGTTGTGCATACCATTCTATCCTCTGCCATAACCTCCATAAATCGGCGATAATTATGAGATTTCAATCAGTGGTTGTTTGAGTAATTGTTTGAACTTCATAGGTTTCTCTGCTTGGCACGAAGGTTTTCGCGCAAAGATAGAAGGTTGACCTCATGTTAGTGTAAAACTTAGCGGCGCATCGATTTTGAAAAACTTTTAATGATACTACCATTTCAATGTATTCACCTCTACCATCTCTCAGTTGCCATGGTGATCTCGGGCACTTCTTCATATTTGGGCTAGTCTTGACCCTGAAATTGTTTCTGACAAACTTCGATGGTTGACCTTCTCTTTTCCTGTTAATGTAGAGCTCATCATTGTTCTGTTGAGTAAGATGCCGTAGTGGTTGTCAAAGTCTTATTGTTAGATGTACCATATCTTCTCAGTGGCCAACGCCAGACTCGGGCCATATTCGTCGGATTCGATGTTTGTAGACAAGTGCGCGTTGAGCACATCAGTGCTGATTTGTTTGTTGTCACATTTTCCGCGAAGCGATCTCTCGTTCTAAAAAGCTTGTGCCGAACGGTGTTCTCTCACCAGTCATTCATCATTACTCTTTTGTAGGTCTCGCCAAGATTCTGTGATGCTTCCTACGTGGAACCCTCTTCTTTGGGCACTGTTCACGATAATTTGGTTCCCTGCAGAAAACGGGAGTGGAGGCATTTTATACCGCGACAGTGAAG